AGATAATGACTGGCCCTGGGTTTGGAACTGGCCATCACGAGCTAGGGCCTCCTGGACACATCAAGTCTTAAAGCCAGGCAGACCCAGCATCAAAGCCGCCAGAGGAGAAAACGGGTACATCTGGGATTGAGCACCATCAGGACTCACGAGCTGAATGAACAAGTAGACCAGATCTCTACGTCACTGATTACGGTTGCAGTGGCCCCCTACCCCAGCTTACACTGTATATCCATGTGAGGGGGTCCCACATAAACAGCTAAACAAAGGGAAAAAGAGACCAAGCTCTGGTTATGGATGGGTCATCTCATTATGTGGGTATAAGCTAAAAATGGATGGCAGCTATATTACAGTCTCATTCGGGGAAGGCCTTGGAAAACAGTGGTTAGGAAAAATCTCCCCGAGGGGAGGGGCTTTGGGAAGTGCACCCGGTCATCCACTTTGTATAGATGGAGAATGGCCCAAGGTTAGAACATTTGTGGCCCCTGGGCAGTGATGAGTGGCCTGGCTTGTGGATGGGGAGCCTGAAAGAAAAAGTTTATAAAACCAGAGACGAGAAAGTCTGGGATAGAGGACTACAGATGGACTCTAGGAATAAACACAAAGTGGGAAGTTGTCTGTTTCACATGCTGAGGCCCACTAGTAAGTATTAATCACAAAAGGTGTACCAGCTTGACAAAATAACTTGGCCAGTTAATGTAGCCAGCCTTTGCCAGAGTCCCCTCTCCCCCAACTGCTGCATTATGGGTACTTGAACAGAGGTTTTGGTGGCAGAGATGGAAGTGATACAAAAACCTAACAGCATGGACTGTCGTTGACCAAATGAATATAGCCTCCTCTAAATGTCCACGTCTAAATGTCCAATCTGGCAGCCACAAAGACCTATGCTAAGCTTTCAATTCCTTAAGGAAGCCAATAGGCTGTGTGGTGACCATTTGGCTATATTGGGCCTCCTTTTTCCTGGTAGGTCCAGCAGTTCATAGGAATAAAAGCAGATTCCAGATATGGGGTTGCCTTTTCCGCCTGCAGGGCCTCACTAGCACCCCTCTGAGGGCCTGAAGATCACCTGCTCCACAGACATGGCATCCCACGTAACAGCGCGTCTGATCAGAGGACTCTCTCTATGGCACAGCATGTAGGGGAGTGGGCTCACGAACTTGAGGTCTGCTGGTCATATCATACACCTCACCACCCAGAAGCTGCTGGATAGATGAGTATTGCAACGGCCAGTTAAAGTTGCAGCTGAAGCTCCAGCATGGAGGTAATATGCTGCCACAATGACGTTCCTCCAGGACATCATAATATACGCCTTTAATCAGACAGCTTAGTATGGTGCTGTGTCCCTAACAGAAAGAGTACATTACTCTGGAAGCAAGGGGTGGAAGCATGAGTGGCTACAGTTAGCATAATTCCAGTGATGTATGGGCCTCCCTATCACCACAACTCTGGGCTCTGTGGGTGAGAGGTCTTCGTCCCCAAAAGGGACACATTCTTGCCTGGGTAACAGTCAGGATTCCATTGGATTACAAATTATGGCCCTTTGTCCTCCTAATGGTCAGAGACTAATAGGTAAGACAAAGAATGCCCACCTTATCCGATATAATTGACCTGGAGGAGATAGGGTCACTATTAGACAGTGGGGGCAGGGAGGGGACCGTAGGTAGACTCCAGTGACCTATTTGGGTATCGGTTGGTATTCTTTTACCTAACTGTGATTGTGAATAGACAAGAGCAGCAACCCGAATCTGAGAAGGTGCTTGGACCACTTAGAAGAGAGGATTTGGGGTACCCACTCAGGTAAGCTACTGAGAGCAGCCGAGGGTAGAGGATTAGAACGGATAGTGGTGGAGGTATTATCATGAAGGCCTCGAGGAGGCCCTGCAACCAATTGCCCTGACAGGGGCTGTAGTTAATTCCATTAACTTCCCTCTGCTAAGTTTCCCTTTGGGAAAGAGCTGCCCATCAGAGTCTTGAAGCTGTCCCCTGAATACAGATGGAGAAATAGATATGGGGGATCCAAAGGGTGGACTGTAGGAGACACAACTTGTCACTCAGATCCCCCTTAAGCTAGGAATTGTTCCCCAGCTCAAGGAATGTGTTTAGGTGAGAGCCTCCATCTTAACTACTTCAGGATCTGCCCCAGGGTCTGGAGTAAAGTCACAGACTTCTCCAGTGACTCCTCCCCCAAGACCCAGCAAGGCAGTGGCCCAAGGCTAGACTCCTGCTCCTAGCCAGGCTGGCGCATGAGAGGTCTGCCAGCTCCCAGGGACCAATCCAGCTTCTCCCCTTAGCTTTGTACGGTGTTACATTCCTAATTCTGTATCTGTGTCTGCCTCCTGGAGAGCCCAACCTGATAGCACAAAAATCCCCCCAATGGCTGCCTTTCCCCTTCCCATGATCCCTTAAATTGTTTGTCATGGCTTCAAATTGAGGGGGATTTTTTTTTAATATTATTATTATTTTTTTGCATTTATCTTCAGATAGAGTGGGAGGAAGAGAAGGAGGAAGTGAGAGAGAGAAACATCTATGTGGGAGAGACACATCGAGTGGTTGCCACCCACAAGACCCCAACCGGGGCCGGGAACAAGCTGCAACCGAGGTACATGCCCTTGGCGGAAACCAAACCTGGGACTCTCCAGTCCACGGGCTGACGCTATAACCGCTGAACCAAACTGGCCAGGGCTTGAGGGGGATTTTATATCTCTATTCTTAACCTTTCTAGCCAAACTGTACTTTCTTCTCATATGTCTTATATACCAATTATAGCATATAACCTGTTAATAAACAAAATCCAACCAAATAAAATCGAACCTCTAATTGGCTTTATTAAGCAATTCATGGATCTGGCAGGATCCCATCTAACAACTAGAAGGGGCTCCAAGGTGCCATCTGGGGCCTGGGATTTCTTTTTAACAAATCACTGATTCCTTTACGTTTCAATGTTTTTTGCTGTCTTCCCAAACACAAACTCCTTGAGGGCGGGCACTACATTTCTTAAACTTCTGCTTGTTCAGTGACTAACGAAGGTAAAGGCTATCTACAAGCAAGATACTATGTTGAATTTATCATGATTTGATCACGAAAGCCCTTCCCTGGAACCTGTCAGACCACAGTTAAGGCCAAGTGGATCAAAGGCAACTATAGAATAGCTGGAGGGAACAAAAAGTCAGATGATCCTGTGTGAGCCCCACTTTGGCTGGTTTTCACATCAAAATCCTCTGTTCCTGAGACACAGCTCATCTACCCTGAGTTACTAAAGTGAGAATTCACATTGATTGTTTTGGCAAATTTCTAATTTGACAACCGAATTCTATCATTCTAAAAAAAAAAAAGAAAAAAAAGGTTATTTTCAGTCTGGTCAGTGACCTATGTATTTCATTTGGAGTGTTTGGGAGTGAAAATTTTCTCTCTCTCAACTTGGGTCCAGTGCTTGGAGGCCTGCAAATTAACTGACAATAGGTAAACAGGAGAAAAGATAAAATTTATTTACACCTGGGTAGGGGTGGAGAACTCCCAGTATTTGGAAAAGTCCTGGAATAGCCAGAAGATTATATCTCTTAATTTTTTTTTTTTAATCCTCACCCGAGGATATTTTTCCATTTTTTGTACAGATAGAGTGGGAGGGAGGGAGAGGAAGGGAGAGACAGACAGAAACATCGACGTGAAGGGACACATCGAGTGGCTGCCACCCGCACGACCAACCAGGGCCGGGGACAAACTGCAACCGAAGTATGTGCCCTTAGCGGGAACCGAACCCGGGTCTCTCCAGACCGCAGGCCCACACTCTAACCGCTGAGCCAAACTGGCCAGGGCTATCTCTTAATTTAATAAGAGGATTTTTTTTTTTTTTTTTTTTGAGTTTCAATGGGAGAGTATGGAAGGTTCTACTGGGCTTTTAAATGCTAATGAATGGAATGGGCAGTCTGTCTCCACAAGGAAACTGAATTAGCAGCCAACTCTTGGAATAGGGTTAACTGTAGCTGTATTTTTAGGAGGCTCTGCTTTAGTCAGATACAATTTCTTACACATCTTTTGTAGTTCAAGTGTTTTCACTTAAAATAATCTGTATACCAACTCTGGAAGTCCAAGTGGGTCCCCATAGGGAAAAGGCCTTGTCTGAATATCTGAAGGTTGAAGCCTTTCTGAAATCTTGGGATGAGTCTAAACAGGCCCCCTGCTCGCTGTAGAGAATTAAGCGATTACAGGCAGGCCGAGAAAGGTCAGGGAGAGGTCCCTTCAAAAGTTCAGAGCGGGAGAGGAATAATCGCTGTTTTTTAGGACAGTGTGGCGGTGTGGGGTAAAGTGCACTTTGGTCCTGGCCAGGTGGTCCTCTGTCTGGGGCCTGTGGGCCAGATCTGGCGAACCTCGGGTCGCAGACGGGCTCCAGCTCGCTGGCTGTGTGCGTATGCTCATGCTTCTTCCTCAAACTGAGTGAAGACAGTAGTGTTCACCACGTGGAGTCGTTGAGAAGATGGACTGACGCCGGGGCAGAGCGCCCGGCTCGGAGCTAGCGCCCACTGGCTGTGTTCCTTCCCTGGAAGGGTGGGGTGCAGGCAGCGAGGACGCTGAAGACAGCTCCCAAACTCGCGTCACTCGCCACCTCCGCTGACTTATAAAAACTGCACCAGCGCCTCGAGATCACTTAGTTTCTCTTTCTTCGGAAGCAGCCTCGCCCTGCGCCGCCGGGGAACCTCACCCTCGCGGAGCCTAGAACCCAGCGGAAGCCGCGGGGCGGCCTCCACGGTCACACGCAGACCCGCCCGCGCTGCTCGCCGTCTCTCCATTCGGTCGCCGTGGCGGTCGACTTTAAATCTGCTGCAGGATCGGGTCTGCGGGATCTGCCCTCTCCGGCCAGAGCCGAGAGGGAAACCGAAACTGCCGGGCTCCGCTAACGGCGGCGGAGAGCGCGCGCTCGCGAACCCCGGGCGCGCCCCAGCCGAGCGCCGCCCGCGCCCGCCCCCGCCCCCGGGGCTCTCGTAAGTTTCGATTCTTCCCGCAGCGGAGTCACAAGTCCCGGCCAGACCAGACCGGCGCAGCGCCATGGCGGACCCAGAGGTGTGCTCCTTCATCACCAAAGTCCTGTGCGCCCACGGGGGCCGCATGGCCCTGGACGCGCTGCTCGACGAGATCGCGCTCTCCGAGGCGCAGCTCTGCGAGGTGCTGGAGGCGGCGGGGCCCAACCACTTCGTGGTGTTGGAGACCAGTGGCAGGACCGGGGTCACCCGGTCCGTGATCGCCACCACCGCAGCCCGGGTCTGCCGTCGCAAGTACTGCCAGAAGGGCTGCGGGAACCTGCACCTCTGCAAGCTCAACATGCTGGGCCGGTGCCACTTCTCGCAGATGGAGCGGTGAGTGCGCCGGGAGGGAGGGGCGGCGCTCGGGGTCCCGGGCTGGGAGGACGGTCGGGGCTGCTGTCCGCGAGGGGCACGCCCTCGGAGACCCTGCACCCCACAGCCTCCTCCTCCAGCTCTCACTTCTCTGCGGAGAGCCCTTCCTCCAGCGCCTCCAGACTCTCCCTCCAATCTGGCCAACACGATATTGCCTCGGAGAAGACTACCCTTAAACTCCCCGCCCCCATAAGAATAAAGCGCTTAGGGACCCGCCAGGGCCTAGAGAATTTGGAGGCAGGTCTGGGAACGAAGGAGAATGCATCCATTCTCCGGGATCTTGAGTGTTTACCTCTCTGCTACCTCTGCCCCTAGGCGCGCCCCCAGCACCCCCACCAAGCGCGGTGCACCTGATCCGTCTCCATTCCCCTCAGTGTCCCCTTTCTGCCACCCGATGCTCGTCCGCACCATCTGACCAGAATGGTCCTATTCAAGCTTACCAATGATGTGTTCCCTCCCAGCGCTCCTTTCTGGTGGCCTCTGGGCGGTGGCCCGAGCCGCTGACCGGCCACTCATGCGACCACGTTGAAATAGTGTGGTTTACCTCTCAGGCAGCTCTTTCTGTGTTTCCACCTGTTCTTTGTTGCCTCCTTAATATAGGTGTGCCCCAAGGTTTTGGTTATGCTTTTTGGCCTGTCTACCAAGTTTCTCCCTAAGAGAGCTCACTCCTTTGGGTTCAGCTGTCACATCTACAAAGATGGCTCCCATATGTACCTCCAGGGCCCAAGCCTTCCAGCCCAATCTGAGGAGCATCTGCGCCTGAATATGAGTCAAACTCATCTTCGTTCCCCCAGGGCAGGGCATCTGACCCCGCCTTCCTCACCCAGTCTTCATCCTTCACAATAACCTGAATCACCAAGTCCTTTTATTGAAGTCTCCCATCCCCTTCCTGTCCCGTCCTCCTGCCCAGCTCACTTATGAATGAATGAATGCCTCATTTAATTAGTAAATGACTGTCTCCGACCATAGACCATAGCCTTTCTCCCCATCTTTCTGTCCCTAGGTAGTGCTGCTCAATTATTTTTCTTATGTACTTTTCACACTCTGCCCTCCTTACAAACTTTAAGTGGCATGTCCAAGATGGTGGTTATCAAACTTTTGATCAAGCACTTGTTAGTGAAAAACTTTAGATTACTTATCTCCAATAATATGTGTAATAAAATATATAAAAGACGTGTTAAATGGATGAGGTAGATGATATAGTATATTTTTAAAAAATTTATTTATTTAGGGTAAAACTAAAAAAATTAAAGAAGGGTTTTTGTTTTGTTTTAATCCTCACCCGAGGACATTTTTCAATATTTTGTTGAGATAGAGTGGGAGGAAGAGAGAGAGAGAGAAACATCGACGTGAATGGGACACATTGAGTGGCCGCTACCCACACGACCCAACCAGGGCTGTGGACAAACTGCAACCGAGGTACATGCCCTTAGCGGGAACCAAACCCGAGTCTTTCTGGACCGCAGGCCGACGATCCAACCGCTGAGCCAAACCGGCCAGGGCTAAAGAAGGGTTTTTGAATGTGCTTTATTATTTAAAAACTATTGAATATGGCCCAGCTGGTATGGCTCAGTGATTGAGCATCGACCCATGCACCAAGAGGTTGCCAGTTCAATTTCTGGTCAGGGCACAAGCCCAGGTTGTGGGCCTGGTCCCTGGTGGGGGGCATGCAGGAGGCGGCCAATTGATGTTCTCTCATCGATGTTTCTGTCTCTCCCTCTCCCTTCCACTCTCTCTGAAATCAATAAAGAAAAAATATTTAAAAAAACACAAAGTATCGAATATGTTGTGAGGTACCAATCTGAAAGTATTTCTAATTTGGGAATTATGTGAATAGAGGGAGACAGCTAAGTCACAGACAGGTAAGTCACAGTAACATGAAATCAGGAAGGAAGAAAGGAGGGCAGAGGGGGAGGATACAAAGTAAAGGAAGGAACATTCTAGTACTATACTGAATAACAATGGAGTAGGAAGCTTTGTTATCTTTTTCTGTGAAAAATTTTTTCACCAACTAGTGTTAGCTTTCAACCTAATTAAGTTTTAAATACATATGCTTCTTTTAATTTTTTACTATGGATATATATTTTTAAATATATTTTTATTGAGTTTTTAGAGAGAGGAAGGAAAAGGGAGAGGTAGAAACATTGATGAGAGAGAAACATCCATCATCCGCCTCCTGCATGTCCTCTACTGGGGATCTATACAGAAACCCAGGCGTGTGCCCTGACCTTGGAATCCCATGGGGACCTCTCAGTCCTTGGGAAGACATTCAATCCACAGAGCTGCATGGATATGTTAACAGTATGTTAAAGTAGTGAAAAGAGAATGATGAACCCCATGTACACATCACTTTGCTTCAACAGTTTTCAAATTACAGACGATTTTGTCTCATTTATTTCCCCCCATCCCTGTCCCCAACTCCAATGTGTTATTTTAAACCAAAAAGAAGGGTTTTTGAATGTGCTTTATTATTTAAAAACTATTGAATATGGCCCGGCTGATATGGCTCAGTGATTGAGCATCGACCCATGCACCAAGAGGTCGCCAGTTCAATTCCTGGTCAGGGCATTTGCTTTATAAATACTTTAGTATCTCTAAAGCACAATTTTCAACCTTTTTCATCTCATGGCACACAGAAACTAATTACTAAAATTATGCAAAAATATATATTATCTTTTGCCTGTCTGGCAAAAAAATAGGTATAATTTTGATTCATTCACACCAGACCGCTATTATTGTGGATATGTTACAAATCCAATATATTTAGAAACTTTGTTTCATGTCCTGGCCAGTTTGGCTCAGCAGTTAGTGCGTTGACCCGTTGACCGAAAAGGGTCTTGGCTTTGATTCCCAGTCAAGGGCACGTGCCTGGGTTGCAGGTTCAATCCCGGCCCTGGTTGGGGTTGTTCGAGAGGCAACCAATTGATGTCTCTCTCACATGGATGTTTCTATTTCTCTTCCTTCTTCCCTTCCACTCTAAAAATCAATGGAAAAGTATCCTCAGGTGAGGATTATTAACAAAAAAAAGAAAAAGAAAAAGAAACTTGGTTTTAGTTTCTTATATACACAAACTTTTAGAAACTTTAGTTTTTCTTGTTTTATGAATTTTAGAAACTTTAGTTTTTTTGATTTTTGAACTTTATTGTATTTTTTGCCTGGTTTGAAACATCAAAACCATTTTAAGCTCTTAAATTGGGTTGTTATGTTAACCTTTACTTTTCCGTATTTTAAAATTATATATATATATATATTTTAGTGAAGTGACAAATTTGTATTTCTTACATTTATTAATCTTGTCATATTTTTATTAACTTTTATTTCCTTTACATCACTTGAATTTGAGAATTACAAAATTTTAATTCATTAATATACATTGTGTCCTCATAATAAGGACCCTTGGGAGAATTTTTCTTTCTTTTTGCCTCAAAACCTAGAAAATATGCCCCCCCAAGTACTCCCCGGTTGGGGTCATGTGGGGTGACAACCATTCGATGTGTCTCTCGAGGTGATGTTTGTCTCTCTCTCTTCCCCCTTCTCTCCCTCCCGCTCTCTCTCTTTTCCTCCCTCTTTCCCTCCTGTCCTCAGGTGAGGATTAAAAAAAAAAAAGTTCTCCCCTTCTTAGCAATTTATAAAATCTTTTATTCCAAAACTTAAAGTATGGGAGTCTAAGGACTTTCTTTTTGGATTACAGGTTAATAGGATCTGTTGACCAATTGGTACTCATGGTGAGATTACCATTCAGTTTGGTAAACTATTCTGTTTTCCGACAGCTGCATTTTGCTGCATTTTGCTACATTTATAAAATTGCCTCTGTAGTGCTATTATACATAAATGGGATCTCTCCTATCCTGTAGTAACTATCTTTTCTCTCACACTGCTTTGAGCCATACATTTTAGTCAACAACAGGGCCTGCTTTATTGTTGAATCGTTATTTGTTTGGCTGCATCGGTTTGGATATTTCTGTTTGCTTCGCTGAAATATATGCCCACTGGTGGTGTTCTAATCCCAGGTCTGACATAAATAGTAACTACCATTCATTGAGCAAATAACTATGTACCAAGCACTCTGATTAGCACTTTGGAGGTGGTATCCAAGTTAGTCTTTACCTTGATTCTTGAGGGACATACTGTAAACCCGGGCTTAATGGAAGGAAACTCCGGCCTAGGGCTGTGTAGAAATTGACTGAAAGTCACACAGCAGATAACTGGCAGAGTTATTGTTGAGCCTAGATCTGTGTAACTTCATCACTAGCTACTTCTGTGATCAAATAGCTGTGTGAAGTGTGATCTTTCATTAATTAAAGTTATTTATTTTTACAAGCACGATTTCTGTTTAAAGTAGGTTGTCTGTGTCTTCAACTAGCTTTGTGGTTTCTGCTAATGGGGCTGTTTCCTCTGCTCTTTCCTGTTTGCATGTCTGTCCCCTGTGGTTAGTTGGAACTTTGGGTGGGGGTAGGTAGCTGGAGAGTGTGTTAGTTGACTATTTCATAAACTGAAAACAAAACAAAACAAACCATCCCAAAACACAAAAAGTACAAAGAATAATATAGCAAGAACCAGAGTGTATATATTCTGAGTATATAACAAAAGTTATATAGAAGAATATACAATATAATCTTATAACTCACCTTCCAGAATAAACAAATGTTTGCATTTTTCATTTCTGCTTCTTATCTTCTAAAATAAAATAAGCCCTGGCTGGTTTGGCTCAGCGGTTAGAGCGTCAGCCTGCGGTCCAGAGAGATCTGGGTTTGGTTCCCGCTAGGGCACGTACCTCAGTTGCAGTTTGTCCCCGGCCCTGGTTGGGTCGTGCGGGTGGCAGCCACTTGATGCGTCCCTTTCACATCGATGTTTCTCTCTCTCTCTCCCTCCCAAACAAAGTATCGAAAAATGTCCTCGGGTGAGGATAAAAAAATAAAGAAGTAAATAAAATAAAGTAAAAGGCATAATAGGCCTATGGT